AAGGCACTTGACAGTAACATGGAACTACTGAAAGTCATCAAACCAATTGACTAAAGTTGTCTTAAAGGCTTTGAGAACTGAAACAAAAACACACTTATTTGAGCTGTAACATGCATGAACCTTTACCTAACCCAATCAGGTCCTTCTTTTTGCCTTAACATAACCAAGTAGTTGTATTGTTAAAATGTTTTGTTACTTTTAAGTAACAACCACATCTTTAAAACTACATTTGGGAGGAAGCAGTTTAAATGGGAACATTTTTACAGAAAACAAGGTGGTCTCCCTTACAGTCTACAGCTTAATAAAGTGAACTGTAAAAAAAGTAATCTTTTAGGGTTTATTTCGTTTAGTAACTGAGATTTAGACTACGCAGTTTTGCTCTGAAATATAGAGGCCAAATAGATAGAGAAGCCGGGGGGGGGGGGGGAAGCTGGTAGCTGTGGTTGCCTCTTTAATGGAAGAGCCATTGGAGACGGGGCTGCTGATGGAAAAGCCGAGACATGTAATCAGCAAGCTACTTATTCATTTCTACTTTCCTGGCCGAGCTCCCTACCCCTCCCTCGAGACTCTCAGCTCTGTTTGTGGAAGCCAAGGTGAAGAGCGAGCATGTTCAAACTAGAGCGTTGTTCCAGATTGCAAGCCCTGTGAACACAATTCAGCAAATCCTCCATGCTTCAGAATATTAAACCGATGGAATGTACGTTTTTTTTTTACGTATTAAAATCCTTGTGCCAGTGGACATATGGAGAGGGATAATCACAGGGCGTTGATGACCTTTGAAGCCAAACACTGTGTTGACATGTTTTTAACCAATTACGACTCAATCACAGGTTGGGCTGAAGGTCCTTCACAGAGGGAAGATTTATGTCTGGCCATGACACCGGGGGTTTGAGAGCAGGAAGGAGCAGCTGCTGCACACAGCCCTCAGCAGCTGTAACTCATCTGCATCTGGAACAGGAATCAGGCTGCATTCAAGTTAGTTACTGCAACAAAGAGCCTCTTCACAACAAGAACGGAAACAATTAGCATGATTTCATAAACTTACCATGCAGTGGGCACTATCCCTCTGAAAATGAGACCGAGTTGTGGCCATTAGTTTGGGGGCTGCACTTGGAACAACTCGTACTTTTCTTTTCTTTTTCCTAAAGGAAATGAGAGTTCCAGCTTTATGTGACTCATTGTTTCCATAAGGTCATTTTCTAACCCCCTCCACTTGTGGCTGCAAAAGATTCTCCCCAAACGCAGTGTGTTATGAGTATTTCCATATTAGCCAAGGAAAATCTATAAAGTGTCTACTTTTTTTTGTCTACGTTTGCCAAGCACAGCACATATGTGGCAATGCAAGAGAGCATTTTTCAGGTTATTATACCTCCGTGCCGACGTTAGCCGGAGAGATTCTGGCTTTGAATATTCAATACGTTCATCCAATTGTTGCAAACTCTACATCTCAGTAACACCTGGAGAAAATGTCAACAGGTTTGACACTTGGACTCAAGCATGAACTTATTAGAATGTGATGGTCAGAGGTCATCACATCTGTACCCTGCTAGTGAATGCAATATCTCAGGAACACCAGAAGGGAATTTCTCCCAACACAGGTCAAAGGTCATTGTGACTTGACAAAACATGCTATTTGCTATAACTATAATTTACACTCTTATTAAGAGAATATTGCACAAATGTTGTACTTATTACCACCACTATTTTACTTAAACGTTATATGATTTTGACATTTTCCTTAAGAAAATGTATGCTTATATATGTATTTATTTTATTATTTGTATTTTGTCCCTGTAGTATTGCACATTCTTACCATAACTTCTGCTGTTTATATAACATTTTAATTTTAATTTAATTTTAGAATGGAGCGCCTTTTGACAAAACCCATTTAATGATTTTAAAATGGAATAAAGACATTATTTTTCATTAGGTTTGACTGGTTGTTGGAGTCATACAGTTGTAATTGTAGTTTCTTCTTCTCTTTGATGTGTGCCGTCACTTATTTCAGAGTTCTTTGATATCTGTCTGCTGTGTGGTGAATAGCGGGCACAGAGCAGACACATGAGTCATGTCGCAGAGCTCCAGACTCCATGTTTTAAACCGCTTAGCTGACTCGTGGAAAATCCAGATCAAGCAGTCGCCTTCGGAGGGCCGCATGGGTTTTCGCCGCTGTCACGGTTAAACTGTTTTTTTTTTACGGCGTCTGTGGAAAAGTATGGAACCTGCAATGAATTAGCTGAGAGGGGGGGGAAAAGTGAACGTCCCTCTCCTCCTCCTCAAGGCTTGTGGTGGGGGTTTTAAGACCGCTCTCAAAAACCACACTTCTCTTCCAGTACATTTCAAACTGTCCCAACATGCAGAGTTTCAAACGTTTCAAACCCAACAGGAAACATGTCTCTCCAGCTCTGCGGCCAGACATCGCTGCTGTGACGCTTCAATGTCTCCGAAATGAAGGGAACCTTACCTTAATGATAGTATAACAACATATAATGCAGCGTGTTTAAGGCTATATACACAATACAAGGACATGTCAACAAGTATTCAAATCCTGTCATAAGCACTCAAGCATTTCAAAAAAGATACACACTTTTCTGAGATGCATGAGTAATTCATCTTCATTTTTTGGAAAGATTGTTTTGTGTTTACTCTGATGTTTTGTTTCTTGGTTTCACAAGACAACACTAAGCTGTTCCCTTAGAAGTGATGAAGTCGTTATGGCTGGCTGGATTTTAATTTGTGTTTACATTCTTTTACTTCTTTGTCATAATTCTAGCCTTAAAACATCCGTACATTCTGTTGTGAATGAGACATGATAAATCAAATGAATATAAAACTGGTAGGGATAAAAAGCTCAACAAGAAACTCCACATGCACAGAATGAAGATCTTGGTTTGATAAGGTTTTCATACTGGGGCAAATATATGCTCAACGCTTCAAATCCCTGATGATTTAACATTGAACAGAAGGCGACTGAAAACATCCCCAGATCATGTACATAATAACCATGTGTGTGTGAAGTGATATGGATGTGTGTTTATGTCCGAGTTTGCTCACTTGAGTGTGTGAGTTGAGCTGTATTAGTCTCTTCCTGTACTTTATCTGTCCTATGCAGTGTGTGTACATTCCTTGGCTTGTCTAACTCAAATATAAATATGGGATTAAGCCGTGTTAAAACATGTTGTGTCGTGGCACACAGCCTCAGTATAAGCACACCTGCATTGGTACCTACTGCTCTTTGACTTTGTTCTTTAAGTTGTTTGGAACCATCCAGAAAGCACATTGAGGCTGAGTGAAGTGGAAATGTAGATGTTTTGACATCAAATCACAATAACAGAAACCTCTATGAGCAGTCAGGGCTCCTCTGCAGCGTCCTCTCCCTGCAGCAGGTTCACCTGGCTCACCTGCACAGTGAGGCTCAGAGCTGCCCCCTGCTGGTCAACTCAGGAACAGCTGGAGTCACATTACAAAGTGTTAAAGCCATGATCAGTTGGACACATCCCTCTACATCCACAGTTCTTATTTATCTTTTGTTTATTCAGCTGTGGATGATTTGCTGCAAGTGTAAGGTAACACACGTTCAGATATTTGCACATATTAGAAAGATTGAAAACTTTGAAGACTTGATTTGGATAACAAGACTTCTGGTAGTAACAGATGCTTCACAGGAGGCTGCAGGGTTTTTCTTTTCTTTTGAACATGAGCCACATTTTTAACACCCTGTCTCTTGAGGAAATTACCTCACTCTTTCACTGCAGCCAAGAATCACCAGACCTTTGTTGTCTGACAGCCTCAGTTCATATCACACTGTAACATGTTTTATTGATCTCCAGTATGATTTATTTTGTTTCAATAGTGTTTCCTGTTGGTAAGATCAGCTGCTGGACACTCACACCTGAGATTGTGGCTTTTTTGGCATCAACAGGATAGTAACTACTCTTAGAGGCAGCTGGTTCAAGGACAAATAAATGAATCTCAGGGGTTAGTCCTGTCGTCTCGTAGAAAGATGATCCCCTCTGTGTTTGTGTTGAGGTTCTCTCAAAGGCAGTCAATGTGTTAACCCCTGGGATAGGCATCTATACATACAGAGGAACTGTTTAGTTTCTGTTTGCTTGGTTGAATGGTTCACAAATAAATGATTGATTCCTTGCCATCTTGTATCTATGGACATACTTTTTTGACATGGGCAATCAAATCAATCAACCAAATGTTATTTGTAAGCCCAATATTACATGCATACAGATGAAAAGAACGAGAAGAAGAGGGGAGATGGGATGTGAATAGGCGCTTTCACACCGCAGTACTTTTCCCACAAAGGTTCATCAGAACTTAGTTCATGAGAACTCTTTAGTTCTCATGAACTAAGTGCAGATCACGTTCACACCGGAATAATTCCCTGAGGGAGGATTAGTCAAATGAAGCCGCTGAGGTCACTTCTTCTTCTTCTGCTTTGGGTTTACTGGCAGGCCGCAAACAACTTCACGGCGTATATTGCCACCAGAAGTCCCCGGGCGGAAGTCCCCGGAGTTGGGGACTGGCTTCAGTAGAAGCTGCTGGGACTCCCAGCAGCTTCTACTGAAGCCTTCCGAGTAAATCGCCAGAACGCCGACACCTCCTCATCTCCACCGCTCCCATGTTTTATTTTGTGTTGCCATAAGTTAGTCTCTCTGCGTTTGTGCGCTGGGCTAATGCTAATGCTAATAATGCTAATGCGAGGATAATAAAATGGCGGCTTCACAAAACTTTTTGGGAGTTTTACGGGCCGTGGTTTGCATTCCGCCCAGCCAATCAGACATAGGAACCTTTTTCTCCCACGAAAGGAGAAGGGGGTCAAAAGGTTCTCATGAACACATTTTTGGTCCGTTTTTTTTTGGTGTGAACGCAACATTTCGGAACTATATCGGAACTAAAGTGGAAAAAAGTACTGCGGTGTGAAAGCGCCTATACAAAGGCTTAGAGAATCCCAGTCCACCTGATTAACTGTTCTCCTCCCCTTGATGCAGGAGATGATATGAGCTGCACGGCGGACGGCCAGGTGTACAGCAACAGGGACATCTGGAAGCCAGAGCCATGCCGGATGTGTGTGTGTGACAACGGCCAAGTCCTCTGCGACGAGATCCAGTGTGATGAGCTGAGTAACTGCGACAAGGTGGTGATCCCCGATGGAGAGTGCTGCCCCGTGTGTGAGAGCGGAATCTCCACCGACGGGGGCCAGGGCAGCTTCGGAGGTGGTGGTGGTGAGGGAGAATACATAAACATGTATTTGATGAGATGAAAAAACTACTTTTGATACCTGTTAAAGGTGGGGTAGGTAAGTTTGAGAAACCAGCTCGAGATCGCTAGAATTTGAAAATACACAACCGGAAAAATCTCCCACTTCCTTACAGAGCCCCTCCTCCAACACACACGAACGCGCACATGACCAATGAGGGCACGAGATAAGTTTGTGCACAGATGGAAGGCTGACAGGCAGGTAGGCCATCCAGTTATTTTAGCCGGGCCGGCTAAAATGATTGGTCGTACTTTTTACAGTACTACGGCTTCCACAGATGGATTTTTTTATGGATTTTTTGTCAAAGCACTTAAGATATTCATTGCTTTCGGGATGTTAAGAGCATTCCATGGAATATAACAAAAAGTGTATCTCGAGCCGATTTCTCAAACTTACCTACCCTACCTTTAATGTATTCAGAGTAAACAATCACACACACATGATCAACACAGATTAGAAACTAAATCTGTAGAGCTTCAATGAAGGACTCAGTTTCAAACTATTCAGCACATTTACACAGGATGTTTTTCTTTATAACAAGATAATAATACATTGTAAAAGCAAAAACCTTACTTATTATATGTTATAACATGAAAATATCTACTGAAGAGGTGAGAATGAATTGGTAAAACGTGAGCATTATTTTGTACCAACATGAAAGAATCCTGTTAAAACAGGAAAGTATATTTAAAGAACTGATAATATTAACTTTGACATGATATGGAATATCTATCGTATGATTACCATTATATATGATGTTGTTTAACATCATACATAGAAAAAATGACTGCCAATATCAAACTTTTAAATTGAAATTCAACCTCCTTTTAAGAATGAGTGAGATAAGGGTGATTGTGTTGCCTTTATTTACTTTGACAGACTTGCACAATGATGAGATATGAATTCACTTAAAGCTGATTCACTGTCTGCATTTCATTTTCCACTTGATGACTCATTGTTGGTTTTCGTACCTTTTCCTGACATGCAGTCCAATTAATCATGTGATCTATTTTTATTTTTCCTCTCTGTAGGTGAAGAAAGAGTCTATAAGGTAGGCCACATGCAGTGTCCTCATTTAGGCTGACACTCGTTATATATATGTGTTCCATCACAGAGTTTAACATATTTTGTCTATTCTGTTCATCCAGGGTCAGAAGGGAGAACCCGGGGAAATCCCACTGGTGAGTTTTGCCAAATATGAACCTTTTTTAAAAAGGATGACTATTTAGTTAAAACAGACTTAATGCAGATTGTAACTTTGATGATTGTCCTGCAGGTGACTGGTATCAGAGGCCGCCCTGGACCTATGGTGAGCATCTTATTTTTATAATTGAATATAGAATGATGTCTTGTGTGAAATGTGTGAACATTCAACTACCTGAACTGACACTAGATGGCATTAGAGGAACAGTTACCTCCTGCATCACCTCACCTTCTACACAGCATTCATCTGAGGCACTGTGTTAAGCCTTCCGGTGACAGGTGTCGTTGTGATGTCATCACTGTCAGACACTCATTGGTTCTTTCTGTTTGTCATGACTCCAGGGGGGTCCGGGCTCATCAGGAGACAGAGGAGCTCGTGGACACAAAGGAAGGCCTGTAAGTCTCCATGCACAAAAACACAATGTTAACATCCCAATAAAGTTCAAGTAGTGTGATCAAATGTTTTTCTATTCAACCCTTACACTTCTCTTCTCTTAATATGATCAGAAACAACATCATGGTGATATTTATTATGAGGTTTTCAAAGGATATATGGCAGAACACAAAATGATAAATCATAGCAGTATTGAATGGGTTACAGTTTGCACAGTCCGTATGTCTGTGTATGTTCGTGTATATCTGCAGCAATACTACGAGTGTCTCAGACTTGTAGATCAAAAAGACAAGATATGATAATATAACGCTTTTACTAATCCTGCAGAAAATGATGGTGCCAGACATTTCTCAAAAGCACAGCAACCTCAAATAACTCAACATGAAATCAAAAGTGCATAACAACAAGGACTAACACCACTGCATAATAGAACAGCAGTGAGAGTAACTATGCAATAGGAAATACAACGATCAAAAATATAAATTGTATAAGAAGTAATGCTGACACCAATGCCTTATATAATAGCAATCAGTAAGGCAAATCTATACAAATACAAATAAATACATTAAATTAAATTAACAAATATGTATAAAGTAGTGGCTAGTGGCTAATGAAAAAACTGTAAAAAATACATTTTGTAGAATATGTGAACTCAAATTAAACAGATGGCTCATTATTTATTTAGACTTATATGTTTTTATTGTTTCTTTAAATGGTGTTTTTTATGTTTTTGAGTTTATCTTGATGTCTACAGAATTCATTGGATGCTATCTCTGCCCTTGAATATAGCATTCTCATCAGAAAGGGTTAAATATAATGCAGTTTATACAGTATATTCTTTTTTTGTTTCAAGGGCAAGAGATGAACAGTCAGAATAAAGCATAAAGCGCCAGGCTGATGTATAATGTGCTTTGCTCAGCCGGGCTGTAGCAGGGTGATGAACGAGGTACAGGGCAGTCAGAGGCAGCGTTGGGAGGAGATGTATTAACCAGCGCTCCCTACTATACACGCTACACTGCTATACACGCTACACTGCTATACACGCTACACTGCTATACACACTACACTGCTATACACACTACACTGCTATACACACTACACTGCTATACACACTACACTGCTATACACGCTACACTGCTATACACACATCAAGCTGCATCTCTGCATCAAGCTGCAATGACTGGTCCAAGCAGAACAAAGCAAAGTATCTCAGCTACACTCACTCAACTTGATTTCAATATTTCACAGGAAATAAATAGCACTCAAACTGAAAACACAAGTACAAATACATATTTTCACAGCCAATAAATCAATGTTCGACTGAATGGTTATTCAATGTTTTTTTTTCATTCATTGACTCAGTGCTATTCTTTCTCTCTCTTCCCTATAGGGACTGCGGGGCCCCCAGGGTTATGATGGAGTGCCAGGTATACCAGGTATGCCCGGTGAGGTTGGACCCCCAGGACCCCCAGCCCAGCCAGGAGTGAGTCGCACTCTCACAAGCTGCAAACACACATATGTACACGTGTATTTACAGGCTAACAAAAGACAAGGGGGTGTTTACACACATTAGAAACACACACATCCTTATATAAAACATAATCAGCAGAATCACATTCAAGTCTCCTGTGGGGCTTCTTAGGCTGTAGACAGAGAGCAGCAACACACGTGACCACAGTCATGCACAATCAGCTTCTACCTGTCCTTTATATGTTTTGTTGTGTATCATTTGTATCCAGATTATTTTGAGTTATGTTAAACCAGAGTGTGCCCCCCCCCCCCCCCCCCCCGCTCCCCCTGCAGGGCCTGGGATCTCAGATGGCCGGAGGCTTTGATGGGAAGCACGGACCTCAGGCCATGATGAGCGGCTCAAGGGTAAGAGGATGTTAGCTAGATATGAAGTCATCTAGTAACTAAGTGTTTTTGTTTTTCAGTCCTCTAAATCAAAACACTTAGCAAAGCACTGTCTGGAAAGGGTTTGATTTGTATTCAGAGTCTTCTAAACTGCCAAGCTTCAGATGGTTTCTCCCACATTTCTCAGTCTTTTACTAAATAGGACATTTTTCCACTTGAAGTAAGTTTACTTGTCCGATAGTACAACTTGATGCATCTTTAGTTAACTCCTCCCTGTCTCATGAACACGTTCACCAAGTGGAATGAAACAGCTGACCCAGTCTGTAACTCAGGTCCTTATATTACATGTTTGTTGTGAGCCAGAGACCTATTGATGACAGGATTATTGTTCAGACTGGAGTACCCGCCTTTTAATCACAAATATTATGCAACACTGATGTTGATCTTCCAGAAATGGCTTCCTGCAATAAAACCACTGGGAGTTTGAGTTTCTCACACCTTTTAAAAAAACAATGATTAACATTATCCATGACTTTGATTATTAAAGCTTCTACATCCAAAATGAATCCACCAAATATATCATGTATCCTTGTCCTTATGCTGTTACTCTACTCCCAAAGGGCACATGTCATCATTTGTTTACATGTATGTGTGTTAGGTGTGATTCTGTCCATCATTTCATTTTGCATCGTGTGTTTTAGGGAGAGTCTGGAACAAGGGGCCCCGCAGGGCAAAACGGAAACGCTGTAAGTCCACAACATCTCAACACTTGTCTTTATGTGCAGCTAACACAGACAATACTTGAAGGCATATTATTATATTTTAAATGTGTCACTCTTATCACTCTTCTAAGGGTCAATCTGGACCCCAAGGACCTCCTGGAGAAGTTGGGGAACCAGGGCACATGGTATGACATCATTCTTTTGTACGATGGATGTATGTAGCCCACTTGCCGTACCTAGCTGAGTTGAACACGTTTTCATTTCACTGGGATGGATTTCAGGGGGATGAGTTTTCGCTGTCTGTTTACAATGTGTGCCTTTTACAGGGTACGTCTGGGCAGAGGGGACCTGAGGGCCCTTCAGGGAAAGCAGGTGAAGATGTAAGTCACATGGTCTCATTTACTAAATCTTCACTTTCACAATGGTAAAATAACCCAGCCTTCACTGTATTGTTCCAGTTACTAAGATTCTGTGAATGAATCTACAGTTAGTATGTATTAAGAAAGCTAGAAAAAGATCATTGTGAATCCGTCAATGACTTCTTAATGTCAAGCAGAAGATACTGAAGATACAAGGAGACGCATAGTATCAAAATAACATTTATAAACTGTCAAATGTGTTATAATCCAAATAAGTTTTGATACATTTCATAGAATTCTTTGTTTTTCTTTCATGGTCAGGTGGACTAAACAAGAAGTATATGTCAGTGACACCCTAAATAACCCTAGAGCAGGGCCGTTACAGGCTCCTTGTTCTAGCACAAATCTCAAGGGAAGAAATCTGAGGCATCTATTTCATTGTTAGCACGAAATGTTTCACAGCCAAACAGTTTGTAACCTGTTGATGCCACGTCCTCCTCACACAGGGAGAAGCAGGAAAAGGAGGAAACAGCGGAGATAATGGATTCCCTGGATCAGCAGTAAGCGCCTAGACCTCCACAGCATACCAACGTTTCTTCACTGCACACATTACATCTGTATTTATTCAAATCACAGATATTTGTGCTGTTTTGTACCACTGATATAACTGATGAAGATGTTGCATGTCTCATGTTTCAGGGATCCAGAGGATTCCCAGGTACTCCAGGGCCTCCCGGTCTGAAGGGTCACAAGGTGAGAGGACCTTCTCTCAAACATGCATTGTAATGCTGCTCTTCATGCTACTTGCTAAAGAATGATATTTCATGCATGTGGTTACTGATTTTCTTCTCTTTTTGACATCAGGGCCATGGTGGAATAATCGGACAGAAAGGAGAAACTGGAACTCTTGGATCCAAGGTATAAAATGACATTATTTCCAGTCTGTTCAATGTGTTGGAAAGCTGATTACTGTAGCTGCTAAAGTTACATGAATACCTGCTAAACACCTTGCCTGAAGTGTGCTCTCTTGTTACTTAACAAGTTCTTCTTTTGTGGTTTTACAGGGTTCTACAGGGCCTCCTGGTCAAATGGGAGGACCTGGACCCATGGTAGGTCATATTCTTATATGATATTATCTTGAGTGCGGCCCGTCTAAATCCTCTATTCTGTAAATTACCCTTTGAACCATCGAACTTTCACCTCAGCTAGAGGACAGCTGACAGGGTTATATTGTTGTTTGGAAATGTTATTGTATTTATGTCTCTGTACCTTCCAATCATGAATGTATCGTGTAGACATGCTGCATTTGTGCTTATATGTTTGAACCTCTGACTTGAATAAAGCACTTTGAGCTCCATCATGATTATGAAAGCTCTAAGAAACCTTCAAAGGGATTCAAATAAAGCTTCATGATGATTATTATTCATATGAGCTGTAATTCCCTGTGTGTGACAGGGTCCTGCCGGCATGCCTGGTGAGAGAGGACGCTCCGGACCCGGCGGTGTCGCTGTAAGGATGAAATCACTTCTGCATCAGAATCATCTGTCACCATCATCACTACATTACAAAGTGTTGAACTGTCATATTATATTGATACCATGTTGTGTTTTAGGGTAAACGTGGAGCACTTGGTAACTTGGGAAAGCCTGGTCCAATGGTAAGACATTTCATCATCATGGATTTACTGTACACCTCAGAGACCATCTTATATAGTTAGCTCAGATACTTGAGTAGTGAGGGATGGGACCACCTCATCACCTGCTTCAACTCTGCATATTCTATTTCATCTGTTTCTACAATTGCAACCTTTTTTTCTGAAGTCATTGTTGTTATTTGACAGGGTCCGCTGGGGCTCAGTGGGTCATCTGGATATCCAGGATCTCCAGGAATGAAGGTAAGAACAGAAAAACACGTACACTCATGTCAATTAGCTCTTTAATGACTTTCAATTCTAATTAAAGGTTTAGTTTGCTTTATTACTTTCATTTTCAAAAACTGCGTCCTCTCCGACCAGCCTCGGGATTAGCAGTTGACGACTCAAAAACACACAAAGATTGATAAATACATAATCAAATCCAAAACACAATGTACGTTTTTTTACACATTTTTATTATTTCTTTCTTAGTGCTATTCCACAAAGTCATTACTTAGTGTAATACGTCATTTGTACATGAATTGTGCTGTTTTCCAAGTTGCAAATGTTTCAATTTGAGAGCATATGGTTTCATTAATAATATATTGTCTGTTTTATGATAATCCAGTCTTTACACCTCTTATTGATATTTTCTGTAGCATTAAAAATATATATGTTTGATTGTTTTGTGTGTATTTCCTCAAACTTCCAAATGTTCAGTATGGAACTATAAAAGGACATGAAAGAAAAAATCAGTCATTCCCCTAAGATCAGATGCAACTTTATTGATCCCAGTCGGGATCTCTGCATTTGAACATAGTGATAGGAGCAGTGGGTTCACCCAGGGAAAAGTGTAGAGAACGGTGCCTTGCTCAGGGACACCTCGGTAGCACTTGGTCTTTCCGGGATTTGAACCGGTGACCTTCCAGTTCCCAGGCCAAGTCCCTATGGACTTCACCTGCACCGCCCTAAATTGGTCTTTTTCACTTTACGTTTTATATGATTCATTCCCATCATATGCTTGTAATTAAAATGCTATTCTACCAGTGTCACATTTCTGCATATTAACTACACTTTGTTGTTCCACAGGGACAAGCTGGCCCCACAGGGGTCCGGGGGCCAGAGGGCCCACAAGGACAGAGAGGAGAGACCGGTCATCTGGGCAGAGCTGGACCAGCCGGCCTCAGGGTAATGTCTTACCTTACTTACACATTTCCTCATAATAAAGTTATTAATGAAGCTGTTTTTTATTTTACAAATTCAATTAAACAGAATTTATTCAAAAACAATTAAACAATACAATTACAGTCATGACACATAATGGAGATATGGTGGATGGGGCAAATAATGGTCCCCAGCTATTAGGTTGATTTAAATCTGATGGAAACATTGTCATAGTTGAATATTTATAACAAATGTTAACATGATCTAATGTGAGACATGTTGTGTTCACAGGGACCCCTGGGTACAGATGGAGGCACCGGTAACAAAGGACCAGTGGTACGTACAGAGCTCTTCATTTTTAACGGCTTATTCACTATTTATGAGATGAATGTACTCATACACAGCTTCCTGTTTACAGGGTAATCTGGGTCCACAAGGTGCAGGAGGCCATGCTGGACCCCATGGCCCCCCAGGACCTCAGGGGAGCACCGGGCAGCCTGGTATCAAGGGACAACTGGTAAACTGCCTTTAAGTGTGGAAGACCCTAGCCTTATGTATTGCTGCACATTGTGAACAAAACGGTGACGATTGCTGCAGAAAACTCATATTTGTGTTTCAGGGGGACGTTGGCATCGGAGGGTTTAAAGGAGAGTTTGGACCCAAAGGAGAACCAGTAAGCAATCTACATCTAATCATATCTTCACATGCTGCTTTACTGAGTCAGTCCAATATGCATTGATGATTCAATAAAAGCAAACTGTAATAGTGTTTTTTCATCATTTACCATTTCGTGTTTTGTGTGTCAACTCTTTAGGGTCCTTCAGGCTCCCAGGGACCGCTCGGACCTCTGGGTGAGGAGGGAAAGCGAGGACAACGTGGAGACTCCGGCTCTCTGGGCCCCTTAGGTCCCGTCGGAGAGAGAGTGAGTCAGCACACTCCTCCATCAGAGCTGCACTTTAAAACAGGGAGATCTCAGTAAATGAGAGAAAGAAAAGCAATCATTTGAACTAGGATGACAATCCATTCATTTACAAATTATAATTAGGTCTGTGGGTTCTTGCCACCGATCGAAAGTCAGGTCAACTTGACAATGACCTTACACAAAGTAAATCCAGAGAAGAAGATGGACGAGCAGTGGTGTTCTATGCTTTGTTCACTGGTGCTGATTTGTTTACAACCTGTAGGCTGTGGTTATTATGATCAGAGCAGAAGTCGGCTGATATAGTATAAAGTGTGACTCCACATAGGGAGGAAGTCCCATTGATGTGTCAAACAAACACTGTTCCACCCAGGAGACCAGTGTTAATGTCCCGGTGAATCCAGAAGACAAAGTTGACTTTGACCTCATTGTTTGAACTCAAACCAGGATATTTAAATACTAAATGGTTTTGTTTAAATGTTCAACTTTAACAACAGAACTTGGAACATTTTGGTACATAAACGCTGTATTTGGAGTAAACCTGAAATATTGTTTTCCAGGGAACTCCTGGTAACAGAGGATTCCCGGGTGCTGACGGTCTGCCAGGACCGAAGGTACTGTCCTCTACCGTTTACTATAATGATTCAAAGTGATGAAGCAAGATGGTGCTACTGGTGTTTGGTTTGACACTCAATCAAGGACTTCATCATCTTTTGTTTTCCTCAAGGGTGCTCAAGGAGATCGTGGAATATCTGGCCCCCCAGGGCCAAAAGCTGCAGTAGGAGACCCAGGGCGTCCAGGAGAGCCTGGTCTGCCTGGTGCAAGGGTAACACTGACAGCTTGGCATTACATTTGATCTACTGCACTTATTGTTTTACTGTTTGTCTGTCGACCATATTTCCGTTGCTCATAGTTTGACTTTCTCTTTATGAAAGGGTCTCACTGGAACCCCCGGAGTCCAGGGAGCAGAGGGCAAGCCAGGTCCACTGGTAGGTTGCAGCACTCAAACACAGTCACGATTTCACATTGGCTTTTGATAAACCATATTCAATAATTGAGTTAAATGTGTTTTTCCTTCATTAAGGGAGCCCCAGGTGAAGATGGTCGTCCAGGCCCCTCAGGGTCCATCGGAAACAGAGGGCCCGCAGGAATCATGGGAGGACCGGGCCCCAAGGGCTTCAATGTAAGGCTGCATAGTCACTCAGAACATTGCATTACAATTCAGCCGGTCAGTCTCTATCTCCTGCTCGGTTTCTAATACATAATGTTCTTTCCACACCTAAAGGGGGACCCAGGAAAGACCGGAGAACTAGGGTCTGCAGGAGTGTCAGGTCAAAGAGTGAGTACTGCTTACCAATCACAAATGCTGTTGTACACTTTGTTTTGCTATCAGCATGGAATGGGAAGTCATAAGTAGTTGTAATCAGTAGAGAGGCTGGGTATCATTAAAACAGTTCCTATATCCGTATCAAGACCAGTACCCTTAAAGGGATACTGATACCAGTACTTCTTTTGACATCATGGAGGCATTTAGCTGTGACCACTACCACTGCGGATCTTAAACCACAAATACATGTTTAAAGGATTATATGTAATCAGTATTTATTCCTCACCTCAACACACAGCACTGTTTCACATGGACAGTAGCTGCGTAGGAGCGTGTGAATAGGAGCCATTCACACAACACAATCATTCTAAGAACGCTTAGGGCTGCGAGCAACACCCTGAATATAATAAGGTCATTTAGATCTTGGTGCAAAGGGATAATAATAATAATAATAATAATGATAACTTAGATGTATATAGCGCCTTTCAGGGGACCCAAGGTCGCTTTACAGAAAAACAGGAGTAAACAAAAAACAAAGATTAGATTGCAGGTATCATTTGACTCTAATAGTTTCAATACCACTTGTTCCTGTTATTCTGGTCTATGTCTTAAAGGTTATGTGCAATGGGCAGTTTGTTCATTCTCTCTTTCTCTAAAGGGTCCTCCTGGGAAAGATGGAGAAGTTGGCCCAGCTGGCCCCTCCGGCCCAGCTGTAAGTCGGATTTCTGTATTTTTCATCAATTTAATGTTTTCTTTACTGCTATTACGGATGACTGATGATTCATTGTGTGCTTTCAAAGGGAGTCGCGGGAGAAAGAGGAGAGCAGGGACCTCCAGGTGTAAATGGATTCCAGGTAAGTCATGCATTTTGGTTTGTAGATTAACATTCCAAAAATGTTGTATAACGCCTTTGAAACAGTAGAAATGATCACAAATGGCTAGAGCTCAGTCTGTGCTGGAGGACTCTGGTCATCTTTGGATTTGTTGTGTTTGTAGGGGTTGCCTGGAAATCAAGGCCCACCTGGAGAATCTGGAAAGCCAGGTGACCTGGTGAGTGTGACACAAGCTATAAATGCTGCTTCGGGATAAATGAACTGAAGCTCATTCCTTTATTCTTTACATGTCCATCTCATGTGCAACATTGAATGGTTTATAAGGAGCTTGGTAGTGTTTGACTCAACTTTAATACCATTATTCCTCTTTTCAGGGTATTCCTGGAGAGCTTGGTACTGTCGGACAAATTGGACCAAGGGTAGGTGAACTCCACAACACTAAATGATTCAGGCGGTCGGTGAAGTAGGATCCCTGAGACTGAGGATGATGCTTTTTCTTCCTCAGGGAGAGCGAGGTACACCCGGAGACAGAGGAGAGATGGGGTCTACAGGCCTGCAGGGACCTAAAGGCATCCCTGGTGCACCTGGTCCTGATGGTCCAAAGGTAGAGCACAGACGCATCCCCTGAAAGAACTGACAGTATTATACATCATGTGCACGTCGGTAGAGTTCTTTGATAATTGTGCTTATCAGAAGTCTGGATTGTATGAAAAGCAATGAGTCAAAGTTATCGGGGAAAAGACACCGTATGTCCATCCTACATCTTGACAGAACTCTTGTTTTCACTGTGTTGTCAGTGGGCAGTGGGTTTTTGCTGAACCATGTAATGGATCCATGTTTCATTCTGTGTGTGTTTGTCCCTGAAGGGTGGTCCTGGTCCTGCCGGGGCCCTTGGTGACGCGGGACCTCCAGGTCTGCAGGGGATGCCAGGAGAGAGAGGCATCTCTGGCTCCCCCGGGCCCAAAGGTGACAGAGTAAGTTCATCGATATCTCCGTTATTATGATCATTTATGTTATAAAGTACACATCATTTTATCTCGACTGCAAAATGTGTTTAAGTTGTACGTGTTCTTAAGTCACAATCAACAGATCTGACTTTTCAGTTCATTCCGTGTCTGGCTTTAATGAATGCAAATGAGATATGTTGCCAACAGCAGCAAAAGAAGGAGTCTTACACCTTTGTTCCTGTGTTGTGTGTAGGGAGCCCTCGGTGAGAAAGGGTCAGAGGGAACAGCTGGGAATGACGGTGCAAGAGTAAGCCACATATCTCTCACTCACAACCATAACAAGGAACCATACTGATGGTGCACATTAGGACTCAGCTTGTCCTAAGAAGTGTGCGCTCTGACTTAAAGGTAACCCCCTGATCTGCTCTCTGTCCACAGGGAGGTCCAGGTCCTGTCGGCCCGCTAGGACCTGCGGGACCCAGCGGTGAAAAGGTACAGTCTTTCTTTTCTTCCCAGCACACATAATCAAATAATCATTTATATATTAGTTACTCAACCCAAGTTCTCTAGACTTCTTGAAAGAACATTTGGTTTTCTGGCATGCCTACAGTACATGATGACAAAGAATAAGATACAAAAGTCTTGATAAACTGAAGCAAATGGGGACCACGTTTAAAAACAGCCGACATCAAAACACCCGTGAAAATCTGTAAACGTTAAGTAGTCCTGTGCTCACTTCTTCCCGAACACATGATTAGGGTTAGCTGAAGTTAGGGTTAGGGTTGTGAGAAACGTGCCCTCTACAAGTGCGTGACTATTAATGCAAAAGCATTTTAAACAGTTGGGTTTTAGCCAAAATGGTAAATGGACTGTTCTTATATAGCGCTTTATCCAGTCTTTATGACCACTCAAAGCGCTGACATACTACAAGTCAATCACCCAGTCACCCAGAGCAGGGCACCTTGCTCTAGGAACTAACATTCACACACATTCACACACTGCTGGCCATCGGGAGCAACTCAGGGTTAAGTATTTTGCCCAAGGATACATCGACATGTTGACTCCTCGGGCTGGCATCGAACCCACAGTTAAAAGACGGCCGCATGTCAATGTACATGTTGAAGAAGTGAGCATATGACTGTTTAAACGAAATGTGGATATCACTGCACAAGTTGTGTGAGAGTATGTAACACACAACGTGTTCGATAGAGTTTTGCAAAATGTACATCACAAGAGGGAACATGGAGGTTTTTATACACAAACAGTTATTTTGGGAAGTGAAGTATTCCTTTAAGAGGCTGCTATTCTCATCACAATGATTCAAGGTGATGACAAGTTGTGTTTTAGGAGAGCGTCAGTTCCCAGGATGCCCTCTGTTTTTATTTTCTTGGCTTAAGTACAGGCTTTGGCTTGCTTTGCATCTTCAGGATTTATGTAGCAGCACAGGCTCGATGAGGGGTTGTAGAACCTGTTGTCACTAAACCTTTAATATCTTTGCAGGGAGAGCCCGGACCCAAAGGACCACACGGACCCGCAGGTTCCAGAGGAGGGCCAGTGAGTGGACCCCGACCTGTTTATGATGGTGATACAGAATGTGTGTGCATTATTAGAGCACTTTATTAAAGTAACCTCTGTCCTACAACAGGGATCAAGAGGAGACCCCGGCCCCATCGGTGCTGTTGGATTTGCTGGAACTCCTGTAAGTACTCATTCTCTGTCACATATTTGATACGCTGAATATTATGAATAGGCCTCTATGATTCTCTAGGAGGAGGAGTACAAGTGAGGACAGGTTCAACTCGTTTTGATGTGTTTTTTGTAATATTACGTTACGGTTTACAGGGTCCTGACGGCCAACCTGGAGTGAAGGGAGAGCCTGGAGAGCCAGGCCAGAAGGGAGATGCTGGATCACCAGGACCCCAAGGCTTATCCGGTGCTCACGGTCCTCCTGTGAGTTAAAAGACACTATAAGATAAAAACAATTCAGAGAAATGTGTTTTAAAAGTCTGTGATATTTGTGTACAGGCTGCTATTTAATACTGTGCTGTCAGCTTTCACCTTTTGCAAACACACTGATAAATACCTCTTTTAATCAGTGTTGTTCTTTTGTAGGGGCCAACTGGCGTTGCTGGACTGAAAGGAGGCAGAGGAACTCAGGGCGCACCTGTAAGATCATTTCATAATTACACAAATCTTATGAGAAGGTGAAATGACATGGAGAGCAGAGGATTTCCTGAGCACAGGCAGTGTGTTGCTCTCACCCTCTGTGATAAGACTTGTCAAGCAGTATCTGAGCAGTGTGTGTCTTTCCTGCTTCCAGGGCCCCACTGGTTTCCCCGGATCTGCAGGACGAGTCGGCCCCCCAGGCCCCACGGTAAGTTCTGACCTGAGTTTCTAAGGTCAACAGGAAGAATTATAATTTCTGTTTTTTTAAGTATACTAAATACAAGGGGGATTCTTTTCAGTTTAGGTTTGTCAGTGATTAGCACGAAACAATTCTGCTGGATGTGGTAGTTAATAGCTAATACAAAAAACCACATGTCTTAAAGCCAGGGCTGCAGCCAAACATTTTGATTCATTTGTTCAGATGTCACACACACACTAACCCAGCAGCTGAGCGGCTGTACACACACCATCATGTTGTTTGAACACGCTGTCTAACGGCATGCCTCTATCTCATCAACACTTCCATCTCCTGCCAGGGTCCACTGGGAGAGCCCGGACCCCTGGGAGCTCCTGGTAAAGAGGGTCCTGCTGGGCTCCGTGGAGACAATGGATCCAACGGCAGACAAGGAGAGCAAGGACCAGCCGGACCCTCCGGCAGCGCCGGAGACAAAGGGGACTCTGGAGAGGACGGACCCACGGTAAGAACATGCTCTTCTTGTTGTGCCCATTTTACATTTAGTTAGTTTCATTCCATTCTGAATCAGATCAGAAATGATTGATCAATCCCCGGGGAATTGGGTTGCTTCCATTCCAGAATAGGAATATATACTAACATAATGAAATAATAAGTATATTAAATATGTAAGATATAACAAACAATATATAACAACAATAAATAGCAACATTAATTATGTGATGAAATAAAAGAATGTAAACAGATATGTATACTAGAACATTTATCAACATTGTAAATAATGCTAATAATGCTCAAACATGGAACCTATTATTTAAAGTGATGAAATGCAGGAATATATAATAAGAATATATGTTGAAATGTACAGTATACTGTAAATGCAGTAATAATACCAGAATACTGCAATAATGAGTTGTAATTGCTCATACTTGTTGAATCACAATCTTCCTATTGGAAGAAATCTGTGTCCGTTAAAACGACTGGATTATTTGTAGTAACGATTTTATACATGAACAAACCCATATATTGCTTTTAAGCAAAAGAAAAGTAAAACTACAAAATTGAATATAAAGAAATAGATTGATTTTGGATCTACTCAATGTTCTGCTTTTGTTTGTCCTTCAGGGTCCAGATGGTCCCCCAGGCCCAGATGGAACTACAGGACAGAGAGGCGTTGTGGGTCTTCCTGGTCAGAGGGGGGAGCGCGGGATGCCCGGCCTCCCAGGAACCGCGGTCAGTATCTGAGTCTGAACATGAAGCATAGTAAAGCTGCTGCTGGTCTCAGCAGGAAGATCAACGTGGATGAATCATTTGAAGTCAGCGATATCATCACAGAACTTCCCCTGCCGATTCATCACATTATGGGGATTCCTTTTTGGATTCAAATTGTTCTGAACTTTACATAATTACACCATAGTTTTGTAGATGTAATGACAATAAACCTTTGAATCTTGACATCTTGAAGGTTAAAACTACATTTTCTTAATAAGTTTAAACTATTTGCATACAGTACATTTCTGACCCTTGAAGTTACGTGAGTTACAGTTTGTTAAAAGGTCTTTTTACTGCTGCATTTTGATTTGTCTGCTTCTTTTTTTAGGGTCCTCCAGGAAAACAGGGCTTGACAGGACCCTCAGGGGACAAAGGCCCCTCAGGACCAGTCGGTGTACCAGGTGCTAACGGACCTCGTGGGGACCCTGGCCCTGATGTGAGTATACATCTAAATATGCTGTGTTTCTCACCAGATATCACACAGGCACGTCTGTAATGTTGACAGCTCTCCTAATGTTTGTCTCTGTGCTCCTCAGGGCTCTGCAGGATCCGACGGGCCCCCAGGCAAAGATGGAACTCTGGGACAAAGAGTAAGAGACAAAGCAAATGAAAGGTGTCCCCTGTGTTGTTTTACACACTGTTAGTGACTGATGGTGTTATTCTTACAGGGAGACCGAGGAGACTCTGGTCCAGAGGGTCTGATTGGTTCTCAGGGACTCCCCGGCACCCCAGGCCCTGTGGGGTCTCCGGGTGATGCCGGCAAGAGAGGAGAGGCTGTGAGTGGGCTTTCTTATCGCAGAACCAATTATTTTTAAATTATTAAACTAAGAATTTTCATAACACAAAACCTAAATCAACATTAAAACGATTTTTTCTAGGGTTTTTTCTGATTAAATGGTATACTGTTGGATGGTTCCAAAATAAGACAAGGCTACACAATATTATAACAAGTTGGGACTATTTCTGTCAAACATTTCCTATAAGACAATGGGATGTCAAAAAGTCAACATTCATTGAAAAAGTACAGATGTAATTATTTGCAAAATCATGGTTTTATTTAACCTGTTGACGTTTGGCCTTTCAAACCAATATCTCAACCAAGTTAACTGCGGTTAAAAAACTCTCCCACTTGCCACACAAACAATACCAACTTACAGTATTTAAAGAAAGTTGACTTCATAAAAAAAGCCTCATCAGACAATTCAGACCTCAGTAGAAGCTTCAAATGTAAACAGAGGACCATGGGGACAGCTCTGTGTGTGAGTCCATCAGCAGGAAGACTTTAATAACACATGTACTCATGGTTACACTCTGGAGGAGGATCTGATTGAAGAGTAGCCCGGTTTGGATCAGGTCTGAACACAGAGACAGATCCATGTGTTCGGGTACAGGAAGCAGTCTTTAGACAGAGTTTGGCAGAGGTGTGTGTTGCCTCTGGGATTTCTAATGATGTCACTCATGTTGCAGGGCTCCAGAGGACCCCTCGGCCCCCCTGGCTCCGCGGGGAAGAGAGGATTAGTGGTGAGTCAACATCATGCAGCTACATGGCACACTAATGCACACTAAAAACATGGAAAGAACTTCACCATTTCCAATCAATGATCATGAAATGAGTTCAATCTTTCTAATTCAGGGACCCCAAGGACCAAGAGGAGATAATGGTGACCTGGGAGACCACGGAGAGAGAGGGCAGAAGGGACACCGAGGCTTCACCGGTCTGCAGGGACTTCCTGGACCTCCAGTAAGTAACCCAGTCTGATCCTCAGGACCTCCACTGTGTTTGAAATGCATAGGAAGTGGGCATGCTGCCAATGTTGAAATGCATTAACTCAACTTGAAATGATTTCAGTTCCGTTTTGTATACCTCAACTGTAATGCTGTAAAGTTCAGGCACCTAGTGATCCACTGAGAGTCCTCTGATTCCAGCTTGATTTAACACTGATTACTGTGCTCTAGATGGATGTAGTGGAACAGACTTCAATGAACTCTGTGACCTCTCAGCCTGTTTGTAAGATATCAGAAACATGATCCTGCATTCCTTTGGTTTGATCAGAATGAGAAGTTTGAGTGAGTCCAAGTCTGGCCTAGTTGTATTTCTAAACCTTGGAACATCAGGCAAACTAGCTTAATAACACATGTAACTAAATGAGTCAGCTTATTTGATGTATTGGAAATACTTCATGTTTTCCAGTAATGGTTTGATTTAGTCTCACACCAAGGACAAGCAGAGCACAGACTTCTTATCTAAGTCAAGTTTTGCGCTTGGACATCATTTAGTCCCTGTATACGTCACAAATATTGAACACAATGATAAGCCAAAGTGTAATGTGTTTTGGGTTGAGGTTATATTCAGGCCTCCAAATGGAGTTCTCCTGCAGATGTAATCCTGGGGTTGATAAAGCTAGCTTATGCTAAAATCCTAGTGCTGCAGTTAAAGAGAAGCTCCACCACATTCTCACGCTTTCATTTCAGTATCAAAGAATAGAAAGTAGACTCAGAATCTGATGTCTGAGTATCCTGAGGACCTCACTGCAGTCAGTACAAGATGTCTGACCGAAGAAAATGTTAGAGCAGCTGGGATATGTCATTTAGCTGACACTTTCACAAGGTGCCGTCATACACTTCAATACAAAGACCTGCCTACAGGAGCAACTTGGGGTAGGGTATCTTCGATTAGGGTTTTCAGAAATAGTCTTATGCTGTATGGTGATGTTCCAACATGTAAAGTCTCCTGCGTCAGTATCTTTCTGAGGCTCATAGACAGCAAGCGATGGCCCACCTGTGCTTTCTGGGAACATTTTGAATTCCAGTGTGGGTAAACGATGTGTGTAAAGCTTATGAATGATTGAATTCTTACTTTAGGGTACAACAGGAGAGCAGGGAGCTTCAGGAATCGTCGGACCAGGAGGAGCCAGGGTAAATATCAACTCAACCATGCAGAAAACATACAGTATATTTGAGTTTTACACCAGAAATCACTGTAAAACCCAACTCCTGGTTTTATCACTAACAGTCTGTAACATGATTGTGGTTCAGGGACCTCCAGGACCCACCGGGCCCCACGGAAAGGAAGGGTACATCGGACAGCCCGGACCCATGGGCCCTCCTGGAACTCGAGGACTGAGTGGAGAAGTTGGACCTGAGGTATTTACTCTTTATGCAGAGCTAAACTAATAAAAGGATGGCAGTAAACGGTAAAAGCAGGCAGATGTGAGGAGACGTCATTAAACTGCTGGACATGTTTCCAGCAGATGTTCAGTTAGAAGGGAACAGGAACGCTATCATCCGTTATTGCGGTACGCACAGACCACTAAATAAAAACATCAAAAATAAAACCTCTCCATTAATCCACAGGGGCCTCCAGGAGAGTCTGGACCCGCTGGACTCCCCGGCCCCCCAGGACCCCCCACTGCTGCCGGAGATTACCTCTTCAGCGGCCTTCACGACTACGACTCCGGCCCTCCAGAGTTCAGCGAGGACGAGGCCATGCCCAACAGCAACGGCTCCACCATCCTGGCGGTGGACCCCGGCGTGCAGGCCACCCTGAAGGCCCTCAGCAGCCAGATCAGCAGCATGAAGAGCCCCGACGGCAGCAAGAAGCACCCGGCCCGCACCTGTGACGACCTGAAGAGGTGCTACCCCGCCAAGACCAGCGGTGAGTCAGCAGACAGAGGGGATATACTGTAGATATGTTACAGGAATCTGTCTTCTACACCTACTGTGGGCCAATCAGAACTGACATGAACTCCTTTGTCTTCCTGGTTCTGTTGCTCTATGAGACTGTATAGGGTTTCTGAAATTGGTTTTTTATTCAGTCTAGGCGGCCTTGAGAAACACATTCACACTTTCGCCTGCGGTTTTATTTTGACAACTTTACTTCAGCTTAATCCACATGAAAATATGAAAGAAGACAAGAGGGGAAAAATTAAAATAGATACAGTACTAGAGATACTAGTATGATTCAGGGGTGGGGAAGTTTAGACAATAAAGGGTTTTAAAGTGAATTGCGGTTAAGACACATTCATCATGGTGAATTTTCATCATCAGGATTATGGAGAGCATCCTCACATTGTGAGACTCATCTGTGTAGCTTGATATCATGTAGAGAAGTGATAACATGAGAGCCTGAGTTAAGAAACACAGACGGAACAGACTCACAGTGTTGTTCACTTTAAACAGTTTGATTTATCTTTACGTTATGCCGGTGTATCTAATGATTGTTTGCTTTTACTCAAAGTTGTGCACAAAAGTGTGTCCTATCTGTGCTGCAATTATTTGTTTCTTAACAACATGTACGGTTAAGTGATTCTAGAATGTTTAGAGTCTTAGCTGTCTTAAGAGTGTTAATCACATTCTGATGATTCTTGATAGCTTGCATTTATTTCAGCCAAAATATCATTACATGAACTTTTCATCTTGTTCTTGTCATGACCTTAGCTCTTACTTTAAACAATGCTGCTCTTTCACAGGCTACATGTTAGAAGTCATGTTGGGGTGTGATGTCTCTGATTTAAACTAGGTTAGCTTATAATTGTGTTCACACACTAAAGTGCATGTGTTGATGGTGTTGTTGTGCAGGTGAGTACTGGGTGGATCCAAACCAGGGCAGTGTGGAGGACGCCATCAGAGTGCACTGCAACATGGACACTGGAGAGACGTGCATCGCTGCCAACCCAGACAGCATCCCCCGGAAACAGTGGTGGAGCACCTCCAGGAACAAGCCTGTGTGGTTCGGAGCCGACATGAACCGCGGAACACATGTGAGCTCTTACAGGGGGAGAGGGGAGAGGGGAGAGGGGAGAGGGGAGAGGGGAGAGGGGAGATGGGAGAGGGGGAGAGAAACAACATAGATCTACAGGCTAGGATAAACTGCCTCTGTACTGATGTCTGTCTTTGTGTCTCTAGTTCATTTATGGCAACAAAGATCAGCCGCTGAACGCCGTCACCGTTCAGATGACCTTCATCCGCCTGCTTTCCAAAGAGGCCTCTCAGAGCATCACCTACCACTGCAAGAACTCTGTGGGCTACAAGGACCAGAAGAATGGCAACCTGAAGAAGGCCGTGATCCTGAAGGGCTCCAACGACCTGGAGCTCAAAGCAGAGGGCAACAACCGCTTCAGATACACCGTGGTGGAGGACTCCTGCTCAGTGAGTCCCCTCAGCCATTATGACCTGTTGATATCAACACATCCCATGGAAAGACCAAAAGCAACAATGATAACCATTTTTTATTAATAAATCAAATGTAACAAAAGAGTAGGAGACAGTTAACCTGCTAATGAAATCAACCAATCAGAGCAGATGACTCTCTATTGCAGTGTCATTATAGTTAGTGAACTCAGATCAGAGAGTCAAACTCTGTAGGGCTGATCAAATTGAAATCTAAATGATGTATCTGCATTGCCTCAAATGCTTTCAGAAACATCATTTAGTCTAGGCTACTTGCCACCTCAGACAATTTAAGCCCAAGTGTACAGGGGGTCAGTGTTGCTCTCTAGCACAGACACATGATATATCAGGCTGTGAATGGCAGGACATACTTGTTAATGCTATCCATTCATTGTAGGTTTTGGTCTTTTCATGGGATTTTAAAACAATCAGCAAACAAGAATTATTTGACTTATTGAAGATTCCTGAAGTTAGTGAGGATCCAGAAACACTCCATGTCATTGAGATGTAAGGCTGTTCACTGTAGAGAACTATTGAGTTATTAACTGAGCTTTTTTCCTCCATCTCTTACAGCAAGCGAATGGCCAGTGGGGCAAGACAGTGTTTGAGTACAGGACACAGAAAACGTCCAGACTTCCTATCGTGGACTTTGCCCCCGTGGACATTGGCGGCCCGGATCAAGAGTTCGGCATGGACATCGGGCCCGTGTGCTTCTTGTAAAACGGTCAGCGGGGACTGGAGGAGAATCCTGAGACTGTTGAACTTGACAGCTGAGAGATCAGCCACTTTGTACATACGAGTACTGAGGACTATTGTGGCCGGTGGCAGGATATTTATTGTGCCTTTAACCCAGTTCAAGACATCGAAGATTTGTAAGTTACAATGAATGTTTGGGATTTACTTAAAACAATTGGTAAGAATCATTCCTCTGTGGTCTTGTTCGGCTCACTACGGTGCTCCTAAAGATATTTCCCTTTTAATTTTATTTCACAAAGCAACATTGCCAAAGATTTATGAATATGAAAGCATTAAAGTAGTAATAAACTGCTGTTTATAGGCGTAGAGAAACCCCACTGAAGCCAAATGTTGTCCCGCTACTTTTTTACAGATTTGTCTATCTTTTTATTGTTTGTACTGTTTGCATATACAACAACATTGTGGTGCTATTGAGGAAACGAATAAAGCCGATGATGCGTTCACTGGCGCCGGTATTTTCTCAAGACAGTTTGTGTATTTTAAAACTCTGTGTGTGTAGATCATTAAAGACACATTAAGACTGTCCATTCCTCAGTGTTAGCTACCTCGTCACCGATGACACTACATGTAAATCTTCTTTCACAGGTGCTGTTTGTAAGTAGTGTGATCCTCGTGCGCTCCCACCGGCTGCGCGCCACAGGGCGGGGGGGTACAATAAAGATCTTTCTGTCGACGACGGAGAGACCAATATGGTGTCGTGTGAGTGGTGTGTGGTGATTTGTAACTTTTATTTCCCCTTTCAATTCCAATGTCCTACAGTGAAAGCTTGCACAGATTTTCTTTTATGCATGTCAGTTCCCCCTTTTCCGACACGTATATGCTCTTGAACTCTTTTTTATAACCAGTTTTATAGATTAAGGTGGCTGTGAGTGCATTTGCTTTGTATTTCTTGCTATGCAACAAATTAAACAAACTGCTTGTTAATCCCCCCAAGCTCTTGTCATATTGATTCAAACAAAGGTCCTTTGTTTGTAATTTTCATTGTTCAGTTGGGATTTTTTAAATGGGGGGGTGTGGTTGAACAATATTACAGTGTACACCTTTTCAAATATCCAAACCCCTCAATGAAAAGTAAGAAGCAGCTACATGTGTACTCACTGAATACACTTTATCCTGCACAGCAAAAGCCAAAATAATAATCACGATTCTTTTTTATCAATATTATGATCAAAATGTATTGTTTTGAGAAAAAGGACAGGGCGACATGGGTAAACGCTTCAACGGCCCAAACACTAATATTAGAAGAAACGTTTTGAACTGATTAAACATCTTCACCAACTTGACAACACATTCCCAGGGTTTACTGAAACCCTAAACGAATCGCTGTAAGAAGCTGAAAACACAACGGAAACGGGGACACTAAAAAGTGACGCACACAGATGGGACCGGAGTTGGCCAAAGGTAACTCTCGCACAGTCAGTGGGTGCTTCTCAATGTCAAGGAAGGATCCTTCAGAGCCACTATTTCAAGGATGCTACGTCATCGAATCCCGCCGAAGGACTGTTCCAATGTACAGGATCCTTGGAATTCTACCGAGGACTGAATCCTTTGTTGCAGGATATTTCGAGGCTGCTCATGTGTATCCTCGGCGGTCTTAAATGACCCTCAATTCTTTGCGCACGGACCAATTTCCCAAATCTTTGGCGGAAAATGGCTGAATCCAGGCAGTACACATTTAAATGTAAGTATGTTCAGTGGTGTAGTAAATGTGCACATGACTTGTGTTTAAAGTTTATAGTCTGTTTGAGTTTTGCCCGTGTGAACGCAAACCGAACCTTCTGAAAAATGAAACAATGTAACAAACTGTCATCTGGTGCACACCAGAGAAGCGGACTATTAGGTTTGAAAGAGACCTTAGAGCGTTTTGCACCTAAATAAATAATTAAAATGAACCTTGTTTTGACTTTGCCTCTTTTGTTGATATGTGTGGTTTATGCTACAATGTGCACCAATATGTGTAAAAAAGGTTTGCAGACATCAAGTATGATATATGAATACACATTATTATTGATTGGTGATGGTGATTTTTTCCTTATGGCTGCTTATCCTCCAGGACTTGTTCAAGGCTGCAAACAGAAGGAGAACGTTTTATGTTAGTTTAGTGGTTCTGTCCTGGAGAGATGATCATTTTACAAAATGCAGTTACTCAAGTACATCTTCGATCTTCGCAAATCAGTTATGAGTCTTCAAACAAATCGTGCTCAATTTAAGGCGGGGCCTTGCATATGACGCACACCTGCACACTTGCTAGCCTGTTCCATTCTTCGTTCTCCGAATGCCAGGAAGGATTCTTGCCTAGCCTCTGAAGGACCTGACTCGGAAGGACATGTCCAACCAAGGAAGCGTCCTCGTCTTTGAGAAACAGCGTGTGTTTCTGAACTGTATGTGTTTTGTCTGTATATTGATCATCATATTATTTAATAAGTACCAGTACATTTAGGTTCGTCTCTGTTTCAAGTGATAGTTGACCAACTTTATAATACTCGCACGCCAACAAGCTTTCCAGTCCAAGACGTTTTTGTAAGATATTCCGACATCCTATACTATGTAGTTCTTCTGATATTAACGATGTAGTATAGTATTTTTTTAACTATGCTATGTCAGTTTTTGTATTCATTTTTAATATACAGTACTATATTATGTTTTTATTTTTTTTATTTTTGACATACCATGATATGAAATTGTATCTAATCATTTTTTTACATACTATACTAAGTAATTTTTTCAAATATTTTCAGCATACTTTAATATGTTGTTTCCCAATATTATTGACAAATATAATATTCAGTTTTTCTAATATTTTTTCATACTAGACTATGTATTTTTTTCAGATTTCTTCTGACATTTTATACTCTACTAATATTTTCGACATAGAGAGGCGAAGTCCCTCCCTTTCCGGTGGACCTCTATGGGACCTTATTACGGAAAGAGTATGTATTGAAGTCAATGGCGAGAGAAACGTTATCTTTCGATCCCGTTTGAATTGTGCCACGAATTACACATATGATGTTTGTCAATTTAAAATATTTTTTTTGTGTGAAACCGCTCAATGAACTACATCTCTCGCACAACAACACACGTCACCAAGATGGCCGTCACTACTGTCTTGCCAAACAAGGGATTGACTACCCTCACTATCACCACAATGAAACACGTCCAGAAGAATGTCATGCAAAGCTGCCTGCCTGCCTTCCTTCGATTCTCCCTGAACTGCCTGATCTTTTTAATGTTCAATGTTAACCATTTGTGCAGATAGCATGAAGTAATAAAAGATCCCCGATGCTAATGTAGCGTTAGCATGTCTCCCTCGGGGGCATCCGGGCTTAAAGGTGTATTATAGAATGATCACAACGGTGTGAGAGTACTCTTCAAAGGGTTCACGAAATATGACTACTACTCTACTGTTTAACACTTTGGTTAACTTAATGTTACTTCATGTTAAGGCTAATAAAAATGACAAGGCTAAGCCGGCTGTAATGCTAACTAAGGTGCTTGCTACTAGCTAGGTAACTAACTTGATCCAGCCAGCCACTCCTGGTCCTTTCATCAGACGGGAAGCGAAAGAACGAGTAAGACCCATAGAGAGGCGCAGACTCATAGTCTTATATTTCAACAGTTTTACGACAAACTGTGACTTTTTTGACATGGAAATGATTTTTTAAGATTGACAAACATTATATGTGTAATTCGTGGCACAATTCAAATGGGATCGAAAGATAATCTTTCTCTCCCCATTGACTTCAATACATAATTTTTCCGAAATAAGGTCCCATGGGGCGGAAGTAGATGGGCGGGACTTCGCCTCTCTATAGATGAGAGAAGCACATGCGTCACTTCCGGGCGAAATTACGGCCCAGCCCACTTTAGGGAAAAAACATTCAATGCCATTTGTGGTTCTGACGTTTTTGGCATCACATAAAAAAATGAAGAAAACCGCCCTTTTTTTAATCTACAGGAAGCCCAATTATGATGGTAATGATTGCAGGTCTCCCTTGAAAAAGAGATCGTTGATCTCAATGGGATTTCATGGTTAAATAAAGGTTTAAACAATAGTTTAATCTAAATCAATTTATGGAAATAATGGGAAATGATGTACGGTCAGTCTGCTGGAGGACGAGTGGCAGGCAGCAATCTAACACCTAAAGTGTGATTTCTGAATTAGATTTTGCTGTCCCTTTTTCTGTAGAGGAAGTAAAGAAAACGTAACGCAGGATTTGTTTGTTGTTGCAGGTGCAATATATGACTCAGCAACTTTAAGACCTGAAGAAACTATTTCTTTTCGCTTCACTCGAATGCATTGTTTTCCCCTTAAAGTGGGCGGGGCCGTAATTTCGTCAGGAAGTCATAGGGTCATATGAAATTACCGAAATTACCCTATGACTTCTTTATCATTTTTTGACATAGCATACTTTTACTTTCTTATTTCATATACTACGCTCTGACTTGTTTAATGATAATATTGACATACTACTTTTTTTTTACATAATGAACAATGACTTTTTCCTAATAAAATGACATGGCTACTGGTGACGGTTTGACAAGAGGGAGGTCAACAAGTCTCTAGTTTATTTAAAAATATATATTTACCATCATTTGGGAAATGAAAATGTCAAAGTTTTGACCAGCTAGTGTTCTGTAGTTCATCCTCCATGAATGTCTCTAAAAAACGCTGGCAAAACACTCCCCCCCACACCAGTGAACATCCAGGGAGCGGACACCGAGATTGTGAGATCTTAGAAGTACCTTGGTGTTCATCTGAACTATAAACTGGACCACTCTGCTGCTCTGTACAAGAAGGGACAGAGCAGACTGTACCTGCTGAGGAGACTGAGGGTTGGGGGTGCAAGGGGCACTCCTTCAGACCTTCTATGACTCTGTTGTGGCATCAGCCATTTTCTATGGTGTGGCCTGCTGGGGCTGGAGCATCTCGGCTGCTGACAGGAAGAGACTGAACAGACTAGTTAAGAAGGCTGGCTCTGTCCTGGGGAGTCCTCTGGACACTGTGGAGGTGGTGGGAGACAGGAGTCCTCTGGACACTGTGGAGGTGGTGGGAGACAGGAGTCCTCTGGACACTGTGGAGGTGGTGGGAGACAGGAGTCCTCACTGTGGAGGTGGTGGGAGACAGGAGTCTTCTGGACACTGTGGAGGTGGGGGGAGACTGGAGTCCTCTGGACACTATGGAGGTGGTGGGAGACAGGAGTCTTCTGGACACTGTGGAGGTGGGGGGAGACTGGAGTCCTCTGGACACTGTGGAGGTGGTGGGAGACAGGAGTCTCACTGTGGAGGTGGTGGGAGACAGGAGTCCTCTGGACACTGTGGAGGTGGGGGGAGACTGGAGTCTTCTGGACACTGTGGAGGTGGGGGGAGACTGGAGTCCTCTGGACACTATGGAGGTGGTGGGAGACAGGAGTCCTCACTGTGGAGGTGGTGGGAGACAGGAGTCCTCTGGACACTGTGGAGGTGGTGGGAGACAGGAGTCTCACTGTGGAGGTGGTGGGAGACAGGAGTCCTCTGGACACTGTGGAGGTGGGGGGGGACTGGAGTCTTCTGGACACTGTGGAGGTGGGGGGAGACTGGAGTCCTCTGGACACTATGGAGGTGGTGGGAGACAGGAGTCCTCACTGTGGAGGTGGTGGGAGACAGGAGTCCTCTGGACACTCTGGAGGTGGTCGGAGACAGGAGTCTGGACACTGTGGAGGTGGTGGGAGACAGGAGTCTCACTGTGGAGGTGGTGGGAGACAGGAGTCCTCTGGACACTGTGGAGGTGGGGGGAGATAGGAGTCCTCACTGCGGAGGTGGTGGGAGACAGGAGTCCTCACTGTGGAGGTGGGGGGAGACAGGAGTCCTCACTGTTGAGGTGGGGGGAGACAGGAGTCCTCACTGTGGAGGTGGTGGGAGACAGAGAGGTGGGGGGAGACAGGAGTCCTC